CTGAAGGAATTCATTCCATGCCTCTCTCCTGGCTTCTCATGGCTGGAGGCAAACCTTGGTGTTCCTTGGCTTGTAGACACACCGCTCAAATTTCTGCTTCCATCTTTACATGACCCTCTCCCCTGTGTGTCTTCTCCTTTTCTGTCACTTTTTTTTTTTAAAAATTGGCACCTGAGCTAACAACTGTTGCCAATCTTTTTTTTTTCTGCTTTTTTCTCCCCAAATCCCCCCAGTATATAGTTGTATATTTTAGTTGTGGGTCCTTCTAGTTGTGGCATGTGGGATGCCACCTCACCATGGCCTGATAAACGGTGCCATGTCCGCGCCCAGGTTCTGAACCCAGCAAAACCCCGTGCCGCCGAAGCGGAGCGTGCAAACTTAACCACTCAGCCACAGGGCCAGCCCCCTCTTTTTCTTTTTTCTCTTTTCTGTCACTTTTAAGGACACCTTTCATTAGATTTAGGGTTCACCCTAATCCAGGATAATCTCATCTGAAGATCTTTTTCTTAATTACAAATGCAAAGCTCCTCTTTCCAAGTAGGGTTACATTCACAGCTACTCGCAGTTAGGGCTTGGACATATCTTTTGGGGAGACACAAATACACCACTACGAAACAGATTTAACCTTTTAGGAAATAGGGATGTCCATGTAAATATTACTACCAGAGCAATAAATTATTAAGTAAGACAAACCAATCAGAATTACAGTCTTTTTAGACATTAAAGGTCATTTTCACAGGCCACAACAACAATCTCCGAAGTTAGGGTGTCTCTTAATTAGAATTTACATTTACAAGGAAAGTTTTATGATACAAACTAATATCTGCTTTTCTGGCTTTCTAGGAGAAGACTAAACATTTCTCCTTATCTTTTTGAGGTTTCTTTCACCATAATTATGAGGGTCTGTGTTTTTTCAAGGCCAAGTCCTAGAAAGCCATGAGTTAGCAGCAACAGGAAAAAAATAGGTCTGAGAACTCAAAGCTTAAGATATGGAGAAGCACAAAGGAGCAAAATAGGGTACTTAATAAACAATATGGAATATGTAAGGCTTTACATCTATACTTCCTAACCATAGATTCTAAGTATCGATAAAGATTTGCATTTTGAATTATTGCAAAATTTTTCCAGCAGTATCAAAGGGGTGGCATCAACAAGGTACATACAGTATGGATGTGTAGGCAATGACTCAAAGGTGCTGTGGGGGTGCTAGGGTCCAGGTAAAGTCAAGTTATCTCTGCCCTTGCCTCTGTTGTTGACAATTGGGACCACCATCTGCTCCCAGAGTCTTATACTCCCATACCTCTGAGCAGGGTTTCACAGGTTCAGGGACAGGAGCAAGCCTGTTATCCTGTCGGTGCCGTATGGCTATAGCAATGGGCACGGTACTAGAAGAGGTATTTCCAGTAAAAAGTCCAAGTCCCTCACTCACTAGAATTCATGTAACTGTGGCAGGAACCTCACCCCATGGATCAGATTTGGCATTTGAATCACCAGAGGATCAGTGGGATAAGGGATATACTCTAAGAGAGGCAGAAGTGGAACTGCTTTTAGGGCAATCTGAGAGCTGAGAATAGAGGTAGGGAAACCCCAAATCACTTCCTGGCCCAAGAGTAACAATGAAATAATAAGGAGGAAACGGAGCCAAGAAACAGGAGCCAAATAGAAATTAGATCAAAATGGAAATAAGTCAGAACAAGCAAAAGAGGTCTTGGGCAATTTGCATAATTTCCATTAACAACACTACAGGTGCCTGAGCTTATCTTATTGGTTTACTGATGGGTGGGATGCAGAAGTATCAGGATGGCTTGAAGGGTAGAACTCTCTTCATCTTCATATTTCCCCATCTATAATCCATAGTTGTACCTATCCTTCTTATTTTTCCCTCCAAATAAGGAGAATGAAATGTCTTGTATTTTATTCAAGTCCAGCAACTTCACCTATATTCTTAACCTAATCCCCATCAATGCAATCAATATTCAGCAAAAATTTGTTAAGTAGCTATCATGTCCTTTCTCCTTCTAGTTCTTCCTCCTTTAAATGTCCCCCTACTTTCTTGTATCTCTTTCTCTGTTGGATCCTTCCCCTATAAAGCCTATAAACATGCTAAAGCCTTGTTCAGAAAAATAAAAGCAAAAACAGAAAAAAAACCTCCTTTATTTCTGTATTGCCTTTTAATCACTACTGGAATCATAAGATTGGTCAAGGGTTAGAGTTTACTGTTTGCATTTGGCCTAAAAAGAGAGGTGCAAAGGAATTAGGGGTGTTCGAGAGACAGTGGTTCTGACTGACAATCACAAGAGCCCAGTTTGATCAGGGAAAAAAAATTAGACCACAAGAAAAGTCTGATAGGTAGGAAGAATATGGATATACTCAAAAATCAAAGAGCTGGATGGGGTCAAAGAGACAGTAGAGGAAGAAAGCGTTGTAATAACTGGATGGGTTGAAACAAAGTTTGCAGTCAAAGAGTTAGACATTAAAGCATAAAATTTTTGATGAGAAACAATTTTTAGTGAATGATTAAGTGTGTGGCCATGGATAGTAAAAATAAATCGAATGTCCCTAGAAGTATGGAGGCCAAGGAAGGATATAACATTAGATGAATTGTCCACATGGACATGAATGTCACCCAAGATGAGAACAAGATATGGAGTAATCAATAAGACTGTAAGCCAACTCCTCAAATCTTCTATGAATAAAGAAGAATACCCAAGGTAGTAGGTTAGTAATTGACAGCAATAAGGAGAGAAAGAAGATTTTCCAACTTGATGATACAAGCTTCAAATAAAGCGGAGGTTTTAACAAGCAAGTAAGAGTAACTGCTTGGCAGTGACATTGGAGAATTAGAATGACCAGGCTAGTTCTCATCCCTAACCTTCCGTGGCCATAGAAGGATAATTACGTGTCACTGAAAGGGTAGCAAGAAGTTGTAGTGTCCTTGGGGAGAGTTATTAGAGGAGGAGATGACTTGAGGTAGGGAGAAGACCAGTTGAAAGACTGCTGCTTTATCTGGGTGAGAAAGGATGATGGCCCAACCTACACAATAGCAGTGAGAATACAAAGAAGGAAATAAGTCCTAAAGATATAAAGGAGATGGATTGCTTTGGTAACTGATTAATTTTGAAGAATAAGTAGGAAGAATAAAAGATGGCTTCCAGGATTCTGTTTTGGGCAAACGGGTATATGAATGTGCTCTTTACTGAAACAGGAGGAAGAGCAGGTTTAGAAGCAAAGATAATGAGATCAGTTTCAGACCATGTTGAACCTGTGGTTCCTGTAGGTTGTCCCTGTGGAAACATACTCTAAGCAAATAAATATAAATATCCTAGGTTCATGAAAGAGATTGGGGCTACAGAGACAGATTTGAGAACCATCATCCCTGAATGGAAGTCAAAGGCAAATAAGTGAAAGAGATCACTTAGGGAGGATATTTTGCTTGATTTGGTGAATGAATGAAACCTCTTCACATCTGTGGCTCTGCATTAATTTTTTTTCCTGTTGCTCAGTGGTCTAGATTTGTCATTTTTCCTGAACTTGTTCCCCATCTCCGTCTTGACAAACAATTATTGAATGCCTCCATTGTGCCAGCTGCTGGGAATACAAAGGTAAAAAGCTCAGTTCTCTCCCCTCATTTCTCTGACCTCTCCCTACTGCTCTGACGCTTTTGCTCCTTTCATCAGGCTCCTAATCCTATCACTTTCAATCATTTATAAGAGTATGAACTATTTCTCCCATTAGAATATAAACTCCCTAAGAGCAGAGACCTTGTGTCATTCTCTGCTGTATTCCCAGACACTAACCAGTGCCTGAAATAAAGAAGTTCTACAAAAATATTTATTAAAGCAATAAATGAAAAAGAACAAAGTGACACACAAGCTTGACAAGGTAAACTCATAAACCTATATAACAAATAGCACAAATGTCATTGCTGTTCTGGTTAAATTTATTTTCAATTTATTAACTGAATTAAAATGGAAAAAATAGGCAAGCAGAAAATAGCAACGACTCCATCTCACACCCATTAAGATGGCTATCAAAAACCCCCAGAAAATAGCAAGTGTTGACAAGGACGTGGAGAAACTGGAACCCTTATGCACTGTTGGTAACAATGTAAAATGGTACAACTACTGTGGAAAACAGTGTGGTCATTCAAAAATATTTAAAAATAGAATTACCATATGACTCAGCAATTCTACTTTTGGGTATAACAAAAAGAATTGGAAGCGGGGACTCAAACAGATATTTGTACACCTATGTTCATAGCAGCATTATTCACAATAGTCAAAAGAGGCAATCCAAGTGTCCATCAATGGATGAATGGATAAATAAAATGTGGAATACATAAGATGGCATATTATTCAGTCTTAAAAAGCAAGAAAAGTCTGATGTGCATAAATGAACCTTGAGGACATTATGCTAAGGGAAATAAGTCAGTCACAAAACGATATATCTGATTTATATGATTCCGCTTATATAAGGTACCTAAAGTAGTCAAATTCATAGAGACAGAAAGTAGAATAGTGGTTGCCAGGGGCTGGGTGGAAGGCAGAACAGGGAGTCAATGTTCAAAATGGGGATAGTTTCAGTTCTGCAAGATGAAGTGTTCTGGAGATAGATGGTCATGGTCGCAAAACAGTGTGAATGCACTTAATACTACTGAACTGTACATTTCAAAAGGATTAAGATGGTAAATTGTATGTGTATTTTACCACAATTTTTAAAAAATTAAATGAAAAAAACAGAATGACGACTGAATAGCAATCTACATTGAGCAAAACCAGTAGGGAAAGGAGACACTGGGACCGCCCAGCCATAGCTTGACCACCATCTTGACCACCAGGCTGTGGGAACACGAAAGGAAGGGCGTTGCAAGGGCAGGCCGCCGCCACCGCATAGGGAGAAGCTGCAGGGAAGCCGCTGGTTGAATCGGGTCGCTTGCGACTAGGCTGCCACTGCGCCGGCGCATATGGCTGCGGCCGAGGCGCCTTTTCAGCGGACCCGGAAGTGACGTCTATAACGCTGAGACAGCTTGGGGAGGATCTGAGCAGGTCGCATAGGTGAGCAGTTGGGCTTGTGGTCGTGTGGCCGATATGAGCTGCACCATTGAGAAGATCCTAACAGACGCTAAGACGCTGCTGGAGAGGCTGCGGGAGCACGACGCGGCCGCCGAGTCACTGGTGGATCAGTCGGCTGCGCTGCACCGGCGGGTGGCCGCTATGCGGGAGGCGGGGACAGCGCTTCCGGACCAGGTCAGGCAGAGGGTTGGGGTCCGTGCCCTCAGGTGCTGGGCATTTGAGGGATGGAGGGCGAGGTAAAGTGAAAACTGGGCCTGGAATTTATTCCTGGTCTCAGAGGGCAGCAGTGAGACCCTTCTGCGGGATCCGGGCTGAGAATGCTGCCCTGGAGCCCTGACTCCTGCCTCTTAATTTGCATCTGCGGCTGTTCTCCTGTTTACCGCGGCGCCCTTAGTCTGTCTCTGTTTGTCCAGTATCAAGAGGATGCATCCGATATAAAGGACATGTCCAAATACAAACCTCACATTCTGCTGTCCCAAGAGAATACACAGATTAGAGACTTGCAGCAGGAAAACAGAGGTTAGTCAGGCCTTTTTTTGTAGTTATGATTTTCTCATATCCAGTAATATTTCAAAAGTTCTTAGAAAACTGCCAAACTGTTCATAAAAGTGCACATGCTGTGTGTATTTCCAAATCAGTACTTTTAATAGGAAAGTTATCCTGCGCTGGCCCAGTACCAATAAAGGTTGTTACATTACCCTTTTCAAGGTCATCTGACTGATTTTGTATTTGTAGGCAGCTTATCAAAGAGGTGCTTAGTAGAGGTGAATTATTACATGGCTTATTTGGGCATCCCTGGATGGAGGTTTGCGTAACAAAAGAGTATCCTCAAGGTCTTAAAATTTAATGTTTAAATATTAATTGAAATAAACATTAAAGTTAAGATTGAAGGTTTTTTAGGTTCTTGTGTAAGTGGAAGAGCTAAATTTTATCTTTAGGGTATATATTCTTAGGCCTTTTGAGTACATTATTAATGATAGTGGTATGAATAGTTATTTGTATATCAGTTTACAGAGGGCATTCACATGTATCATCCTATTGTATTCTCATATCTTCATTTTGAGGTAGGAAAGCTGGGTATTTATCATTACAGTACAGATAAGAAATAGGCTCAGAGAGCTTAAATGATTTGCTTGAGTATTAAGCTAGTAACTCACAGAACTGAACTCAAACCCAGGTCTTCTGATTTCACATCTTATTTTGTTTCTACCAGACTAGGCTGCTTCTGGCCAGAAAGCTATTTTTCACATAGATCCTATCTGTTGTGTTTCGTGTACTTAAACACTGATTTACAACTTTGAATTCACAATATCTCATGGAGTGTCATAAAATTCCAACTGTTAAAAGTTTAGCTTTGGGAGCTGTCTCTCAGACATGACTGCCAAGTTATTTTATTTTTTGATAGAGCTATGGGTTTCCTTGGAGGAACATCAAGATGCTTTGGAACTCATCATGAGCAAGTACCGGAAACAGATGTTACAATTAATGGTTGCTAAAAAAGCAGTGGATGCTGAACCAGTCCTGAAAGCTCACCAGTCTCACTCTGCAGTAAGAAACCTTGATAAATAAATTCTAAGTGAACTGAATTGAAATCTTGAAATTGTTTTAGATTGTGTGCTTGTTTTTGAAGAAAAGTAAGCTTGTTTTCCTTTCATGTTTATCACATTCACTATTGATTTTGGTATAACTTTGTAACGATATGAATAGAAAGAAGTGGGTAAAGGGTTGTTCAGGTCCTTTTATTTGAGTGGGACTAAGGTTCCTCCCTCCCTCACCAAGATCTTTTTTCAAGATGTTAATGAATGCTTAGTTCTTCCACCAAACATAATGCCCGTTAGTGCTGAAGGTGCTCAGTAAATACTTGATTGGTTAATATTGTACATTTCACTAAACTGTAAGCATGTTGTAAGGAGCATGAATTCATCTTTTATCCCTAACATAGTACCTGGCACATAGCAGGCAATCAGTAAACCGTTATTAAACTGAACTACATAGCATCACACTGTGTTGTAGGAGAGAGAAGTATGGTTTGAAAAAAAATACATGGCATAGTTTCTACACTTGGGTTGCTTATGATTTAATTGGGAGACCCAGTAATTGTTCTTATGTTTGCAGAGTTCTTTGCAGATGTCATTGTACATTCACATATACTCTATAATTTATTCCTGGATTAATAGACTGGTGCATCACGATTTGCTGTGGTGGAATTTATGAAAGATAAGTTTCATCTTAGATTCCACTGAAAGCATTTTACTGACTTAAAAGTCTTAGAGAAGAGGGATATTTTAAATATGTGAATGGCTTTCATTTGGAAGGGAAAAATAAAGTTTATTTTCTTTAGTCTGGAAGAGAAAACTTGAACCCTGAAGGAGTCAGAGTTTAGCTCATATGAAAAACTTGCTGAGAGATATGTCCAAAGATAGAATAAAGTATCTTAGGATGTGGTAAGCTTCCTGCCAATAAAAGTATTCAAATTTAAGTTAAACAGCCACTTAGAGATATTGTCCAACATGCAGTGGTTGGTTAGACTAGAATTGATCGTTTGAGAACACAATTATTTGTGAATAAGAGATAACTTTAGGGCTGGCCCTGTGGCCAAGTGGTTAAGTACACACTCTGCTTCGGTGGCCCAGGGTTTTGCTGGTTCGGATCCTGGGCACGGACATGGCACCACTCATCAGGCACCACTTGTCAGGCCACACTGAGGCTGCATCCCACATGCCACAGCTAGAAGGACCCACAACTAAAATATACAACTATGAACTGGGGGGATTTGGGGAGAAAAAGCAGAAGGGAAAAAAAAGATTGGCAACAGTTGTTAGCTCAGGTGCCAATCTTTAAAAAAAAAAGATAACTTTATGATGGCTTTACCTCTGAGGACTCAGATTATAGTGAAAGTCCTGTATAACCTGTGTAGCACAGATTAAATGAACTTTTTAACATCATAATGCACATGTTCTCATGAACTTCATATCTATAGAAAAGATGACTTTTCCCCCTTTTTTTTTCTTAATATCTTCACAGGAAATTGAGAGTCAGATTGACAGAATCTGTGAAATGGGAGAAGTGATGAGAAAAGCAGTTCAGGTGGATGATGACCAATTTTGTAAGATTCAGGAAAAACTAGCCCAATTAGAGGTAAGATTGTTGCTATTTTAGGTTGACAAAATTTCAGGGAGTGTTCCTTGAGTCTGGAAGGTATGCCATCACTATCCCATCACTGCAATGTATTGATGTTTTCTGTGTGCTCATGATTAGCTCTTCCTCCATACTTTTTTCAAGAAAGGAAATGTAATCAGCAGCAAATAATGAAAATGCCAACTATGTATTGGCTAAAAATTAAGATATTAACATATTGAGAGTTAAAGAGAGTGGAAGGGACAGATTACATGTGAACTAAAATCTGTCATCTGCCATAAAAGAAAGTCAAATAGGAAGTGTCAAAGATCGATGAGCAGAAAATAGCAGTACAGGCTTATTATTTAGAATTATGGAAGTAAATACCAAAAGAAATAGATAAAAAGCATTAAAAGTGGTTGCCTTTGGGGAACAAAGCCAAGGGACTGATGTTTATTTTATAAGCCTTATAGTCTTGATTTTTTTAAAGCTATTTTCATGTAATATTTTGATTAAAATAGGAATCGTTTACAAAGAAAAGCCTGGGGTGTTAGTGTGCCCATAAAAGTGTTAACGAAAAACATTACAATAGATGGTTTGAATGCTGCTTATTACAAGATGCTGTTGTGGGCCATTTGAGAAGTACCAGAGAGAAAAAGGATCCCTGCTCAGAGTCTAGTGAAAGGAATGAGACTGGTACTTACATGATATGATCTATGTTATGATATGAAATGGTATATAATGGTATATAAATGCTAGGAGAGAGATACAAAAGTACTGAGGGAAGCACTTTGTATGGTAGAAGATTTAATGACCGTGGGCTCTGACTCTCGGTGAAGCCTGAAAATGTTGTGGTTTACCAGAAGTTCCTGCAGAGAGACTAGGGATAAAGAGTGCAAGCTGCCCTATCTGGAATTCAAAGGGAGTAATAAGGTTCCAAGTAGGAATTAGGAATTAGCTAAAATGATAGAATGACCTTGTCTACACTACTCTGATTGACCCCAGTGATGGAAACAGCCCTAAGGAAATGAGGGACAAATTTTACTCAATACTTTAAGTGGAAAAAAACATGGGCATCAGATTGAGACTCCAGCAATACCACATCCAAGTTATCTGGAGAAGTTTTTGGACATTTGTGAGCCATAGTGCCCTCTTCCTGAAGAGAATGCGGATGTAGGCAGTGGTACCTACCCTACAGATTGTTGTGAGATAATATATGTAAGACACTCACATAGTACCTCGCTACAACTGAGCAGAGTAAAAATATTATTAGGAATTTGAAAAATAGAAGAAACAATAGTAAAACTTGTGGGAATCATGACGAGTATGACAAGTAGTGAATTCCTCAAGTGGAAAGGGATCTTGTTTTTTTCTTTCTTGTCCTAACACTTGGCATATAGAAATTCCTCGGTAAATGTTAAATGAATAAGTAAGTCATATTTTAGGAAATTCTCAGTTCTTTTGTTTCCTTAAAATTTAAAATTAAAATAGTATCCTTTCTATTCCTAGCCCAAAAAAAGTGTTCTGATGCAATTTGACAGTCAAAATGCCTGAAATAAACATATACCTTTTTTTTCAGCTTGAAAATAAGGAACTTCGAGAATTATTGTCCATCAGCAGTGAGTCTCTTCAGGTCAAGAAGGAAAACCCAGTGCACACTGCTTCCCAAGGCATCAAATAACTCAACTTCTGACTGTCAGCTGGAGATTGTTTATCAAGGAAGGAAGTTATTATCTTTCTATTTGAGTATTGTCCATTGAGTGTCTTGCTCAGATTTGATTTAGTGTTGATTAAAGGTATTAGATGGCAGTGTAGAAGTCACAGTTAAAAGTGGCTGTCCACAAAACAGTTGTTGGGTGTGTTAGTGAAAATACATACTGAGTTTCACCATTCCTTTTCTAAGAGACTTTTAATTTTCATTTCTGGGACCTCAATTTGTATAAACTGTGTTTTGAGTTCATTTTTGTTTTCACATCTCTGAAACTTAGAGCATTTTATTATAAGCCAGCAATTTTATTTTATTTAGGATTATAAATTGCAATTGTAAAAAGTTTTAAAAAGAGATTAGCTTTTTAAATCTATTTGGCATAAACCTGTATTTTTTTCCATTTGAGAAAAGTAATACCGTACAACTAGATGGGCAGATTCTCTGATTTGTAATGTCATTCACTTTCTATGAAGTTTGAAGTCTCTCTGGTGCTAAGAGTTGGCACTTCATGGCATGGTGTCTTTACTCTTAATTTGAGAGAACCTACTGCTAGTCCCCAGGAAACACACTTGAAAATAAGTCAACTGTTTTTTTCTAATGGAAGTAGTCATCGTTCTGTTCAAAGAATGCTGAGAAATTTGTCCTGTGTATGTGCGCATACACGTGTGCTCTTAGTTCAGATGCTAAAAGTAGCTTGTATTTGTTTTATTAGATATTCATAGTCAATTTTTCAGTTTTGTCCTACTAGAAAATCTTCAACTTGAGTAGTTTACCCAGTGTGAAGAGCATATAATAGGTTTATTCACATCATAGTTCTTAGGTATTACATTCTTCTATTTAATTTATATATAACTCCTGTTTTATAGTTAAGAACTTATCCCTTACTTGGATGTCTTTCATTACTAGTACTAGTACTTTGTTTTTAGATCCATTTTTCACAAGGAAGCAAAGTTTATCACCTAGTGAGAGTTACTATATTCATAGTACTGTGCAGAAAACAAAACAATGTTAAGGTTCAAATGCTGAGTGATCAACTAGGCTCACCTATTAACTCATTCCCCCATCTCAGTTTACTCACATTTCAAATTTACAAATTTCTTCATGTTATACTATCATTATAGTATAGATTTGCCCAAAAATAATTAAAAGAATGAATGCTAAATCTGTCAATATTTTCCAGTAACACTAAGCACCATACTACATGGGAGAGAGACAGTATTAAAAAGTTTTTTGTTAATGCTTTATGTGATGTAAAATTTCTTTTTTTACTGCCATAAAGAATTAACTCCAGTTAAAACAACAAAACGTCTCCACGATACCCTAAAAGCATCTGATGCCAGTAATACTAATGGACTTTGCCTACAGTGGTCGGCTTTAATGAACAGGTATATGTTATTTTAGAGTTTGTCAAATTTATATTCAAAGTCCTGCATAAAATTTGAAAAATACTTCCACCCCAAATATGGCTGTTTTCATGTCATTTCCCAAAAGTAAACCTTTAATCCCAACTATTTGCCTTGAAGTATATGCCCTGAGTGCCACTGGTATGTCCCACAATTCTATTCAGGAAGTGAGAACCTCTACATTTTGTCAACTGCCATGGGCAGTTTTCATGAAAATGATAAAGTAATCAAATGGCCTTGAAGTATAATGTGGTGTCCCTATATCTGCCTGATATTCCTTTAGAGTTGCTTATAAAGTTCTTTATATCTCAGATATCAGGATAAATCTGTATGTTAACTTTTCCCCGTAGCAAATCAAAACCTTGAAGTATGAGTCTAAAGAGCTCTCAGTGCCCTATGTAATGTAAATTCTGGCAGGTGTTAATGCTATGAAGATAATGTGTAGTTAGAAAATTGAGGAAGGAATGTTCTTCACTTTGAGTGGATATTAAAGTTTTTTTTGCAGTGGATGGAGGAACTTAACTGCTTTGCAAAATCTTAGTACAAGCTTTTCTAATAAAAACCTCATTTTGTGAATATCAGCTAATTTTACTTAGTAATGAGTCTAATTACTAGTGCAAAGGTTTATTTTCCCTATATGTAGCAACCTATCAAGTAGACGGGTTTTCATAAATATTTTGTAGTTAGCACAGCAGTACTTTTTTTTAATAAAAAATTATAAAAATATTTTGTAGGGGGCTGGCCCCGTGGCTGAGTGGTTAAGTTCACGCAGTCCGCTGCAGGTGGCCCAGTGTATCGTTGCGGACGTGGCACTGCTTATCAAGCCACGCTGAGGCAGCGTCCCACATGCCACAACTGGAAGGACCCACAACAAAGAATATACAACTATGTACTGGGGGGCTTTGGGGAGAAAAAAGGGAAAAAAAATCTTAAAAAAAAAAATGTTGTAGTCAGCAGCATAACAAATAGTTGTTTCTGAAATGGTTTTAGAGATTTCCTCATGATTAGAAATCATTAATTATATGATTATAAATCAAGTTATAAAATTAAAACTTTCAAAGTATCTTGAAAAGTGCTTAAATATTATCGATATTTACCTTGACTTATATTAATATCTTATGCATAATTTGATTCAAACACTGTCTATTTCACTGTTCCTCAAAATGTGGTTCACTGACCTACTGAACTAGAAATTTGGGGATGGGATCCAGAAATTTGTATTTTAATTATCATCCCAGATAACTTCTAAGGACACTAGTTTAAAAATGTCTAGTCTGCAGGGGCCAGCCCTGTGGCTGAGTGGTTAAGTTTGCACGCTCTTTCAGCAGCCCACGGTTTTGCCTGTTTGGACACTGGGCACAGACATGGCACCACTCATCAAGCCATGCTGAGGTGGCATCCCACATAGCACAACCAGAAGGAGCTACAACTAGAATATACAACTATGTACTGGGGGACTTGAGGGAGAAGAAGGAGAAAGAAAGAAAGAAAAAAAAAGATTGGCAACAGACGTTAGCTCAGGTGCCAATCTTTAAAAAAAAAAATTAATTTAAAAAAAGAATATCTAGTCTACAATGTACCAGGCACTTCATTTAAAGTTATGCATAGAAAAAAGGGTGTTTACACTGTAATCAAAGAAAAATCTGGTAGAGGAGACAAGTATACATACAATTGCAATGCAGTATGATGAATCCAATATAAGGATGTATAGGATACAGAAGAGGGACTATTTAAACTTGAGAATCCAATAGAGACAACAAATGGGCAGGAGGAGAACTAGAAAGCTTGCTGCTTTCTAGTAATCTCCATTTCAACTGTACCTCATTTTACAGATACTCAAGTATAAGGAGGTTATGTTATTTTCCAAACTGGAACCAAGATTCAAACCAGACTCTTAAACATAATCTTAGCTACTAAGTAAAGATGCCTTTAAATGCCAGATACTGTTTAGAGTTCAAGTGGTTCTTGATTAGCCAAATATTTTTATTAATAGTACAAAAGAAACACCACGGCCAATATATTAGAAAATACTGTGAATTCAGTAACTGGAATCTTAACTAATGAGACATAATTGTTATCTGTCTTCTAGAATGGTGTAGCTGAGAGTATGTGTGCATGCAACTGAAGGGAATAATGCTTAATCAGTGGTCCTTGTTACATACAGGAAAGAATGCAGTTCTGTCTTTCAAATCTGTCTCCTTAGCATGTTTTTCATCCTTCATGCTATTTTTTTGTGGTTTGAAGAAAGTCGCTGCTGTGTCAGGTTCATGTTGAAGGGAGGAAAAAAATGGGAAATGGCCTATACCAGCTATCTGTATCCTCTTTTATGAGGAAAAACAAAGCTTTCCCAGAAATTCCAGATAGATTTCCCCTTGTCTTATTTGTCTGGCCTGTTAAATGTCATTTCTAGCTGCAAAGAAGGCTGGGTACATAGCTGCCCCAAATAAAATCAGTATTCTATTAGCAAAGAGGAAAGAGTGTTGAGAAAGCAACTAACAATGTCTGACACAAGTCCTTTTACATTGAATAGTTTTTAACAAGTGTAAGCATTAGCTGAAGGAGTGTGTTGATTTTGAGCAGCCAAGAGAAGGGGCTGTGGCAGACGTCTATTTCCTTTTTGGCTGCCCAGTGTCCTAACTCCTATGTTTAAGGAATCCCTCACCTAATAAGGCAGAGGGTTCCTCCCTCCTAAAAAATTTCAAAGTGTTAGATATGTTTTCCTAGCCTCTTCTGCAGCTATGGAAGATACAGCTGCCTTAAACTTTAAAGTAGTCATACAAAGAAGCATGGAAGTATGCAGAATTCTTTAAGTAAAAGGTGGTGACCTACAACAACAGCAACTACATCCAGCTCCACAGAGAAGCAGTAAAAGTGGCTTTAGTGACAACATTCAGTGTTCAGTGTCAGCAAAGTCAATGGTGTAAGCTGCAGTGTCTTCCCAACAGTGGCCACAGTGGGATCTTTACAGAAGCACTTATCTGAGGTGATTGGAGGCTATGTAATGTCCAATACTGGTTTTCTGGCTGTCCTAGAGTTCCTGAGGATTACTGGTTAGCCTTCTAATAAAATCACTTTTTAAAAAATTAACCAAATTCTCTAATTAAGAACCCCGACTGATAAAATAAGCATACTTTTTAAAACTATGCAAATTTTGTCAACACTTTATGCATAATTTTGCACTTATATTTTAATGTAATATTTGACACTTATTAAAGGATAAATGTGACATGCAGATTATTAAGCATAATCACAATTCATCACCTAATTTAAGAATTAGAACATTATCTGTACTTTGCATTTATCTATTTGAGCTCCTCTCCTGTCTCTTGCCACCCCCCTGCTCTGCCTTAATGGTTTTTTTCACATATAAAAAGAACTAGAATATGTATGTATCCCTAAAGTGACATATTTTTTATTTTTGTTCCTTTTTGAGCTCTGTCAAAATGATATCATACTATAGTCTGGATTTGATTTTTTTCGACTCAACATTATGTTTCTCAGATGTTGTATATAGATGTTATTCATTTTCACTGACGTACAATATTTCATTGTATGACTATACAATATATTGTTAAGGGATACATATGTATCTAATGATAAAATTATACATTTTTAAAAATACCTGCTAATATCTGGCTTCCTGATTTTTAATTCTCCCTCCATCTACCTCATATTAGACACACTTCACTATCAGTGGTCATATTTCATATTTTGCAGTTATTTCACTAGCAGTTGTCTCATGGCAACTTTCAGAGTGAATTAAGGAGTATTGTCCACTAATATTCATAGTGGAAAGCAGATGATACTTTTTCTTTTGTCACTCTGCAAGAATGCTAAAGAGGATGCAGAACCTTCAGAGCTTTGATGAAACACAATTCACTCAACAGTTTATCTACCCTCCTAGAAATACATGTGGAATTGATGAGAGTGGATCTCTGTATGTTACTGATCCTGAGATTCTTTTTTTTTTTTTTTTTTTGCTGAGGAAGATTCACCCTGAGCTAACATCTGTTGCCAATCTTCCTTTTTTTTTTTGCATGTGAGCTGCTGCCACAGCATGGCCACTGACAAGTCTTGTAGGTCCACACCCAGGAACCAAACTCTGGGCTGCTGAAGTGGAGCACACTGAACTTAACCACTAGCCCACTGGGGCTGGCCCCTAAGATTCATTTTTATTTCATATGTTAACATCTCTGAAATTGGGATATGTCTTATACATGTAGGGGTTGTGGTATGGTTGATTCTAAGCATAAGCACTAGTTTGCGTTCCTGGTGGCATGACTGGACAAAGGCAAGCTCTTGATATTTCTGTCAATAAACTAAGGACCATTTGAGAAAGGAATAGGGGTTTCACTGTTTTCTGTGAATTTTCCATCTGCACCTTCTTGTAAGATCAAAAGAGTGCCAGCATAAGAACTTGGAGTATGGCTGTATTAGTTTTCTATTGCTGTATAAAAAATTGCCACAAATTTAGCAGTTTAAAGCAACACCCATTTGTTACCTTACAGTTCTGTAGGTCAAGACTATGCAGGGCTCAACTGGGTTCTCTTCTCAGGATCTCACAAGGCTGAAATCAAGGTGTCAGCCAAGGCTAGCATTTCATCTGAGGCTCTGGGCCCTCTCCCAAGCTCACATAGTTGTTGGCAAAATTCATTTTTTTTGCAGGTGTAGAACTCACACGCCTTCAAAGCCAACAGGAGATCATCTCTCTGACTTCCTTTGTCTCCCACCTCTAGACTCCCTTTTAAGAGCTCACCTGATTAGGTTAGGCCCAACCAGAATAATCTCCCTCTTGATTAACCCAACTGATTAGAGATCTTAATTACATCTACAGTAATCCCTTTTGCCACAAAGGAGATATGAGTCATATCCTCTGATATCCACAGGTCCAGCCCACACTCAAAAGGAGAGAATTATCCAAGGTATTTACACCAGGTGGTGGGAATCTTGGTGGTCATCTTAGAATTCTGCCTACCACACTGGCTTTTAGTAGCTTGAAATAAAATAAAATAAAAGACAACAATGAAACACTCCTAGGAAATGCTGCATTACCAGTATTCTTTGTGGCCCAAGAATAATTCTATGTGGAAAAACCTGCACATCTATGAGCCAAAAGGAGATTCAGCAAGATCCACCAATGTATGCTAAAATTAGTGGGCTGACGTTTAAACAGAAAAAAGATATGTGCATTGTCACTGTATTAATTTCCTAGAGTTGCCATAACAAATCACCACAAACTAGATGGCTTAAAACAATAGAAATTTATTCTCTCACAGTTCTGGAGGCTAGAAGTCTGAAATGAGGTGTTGGCAAGGTTGGTTCCTTCTGGAGGCTCTCAGGGAGAACGTGTTCCATGCTCCTCTTCTAGCTTCTGGCAGTTCTTGGCATTCCTTGACTTCTAGGTGCACTGCAGTCTCTGCCTCAGTCTTCACATTGTGTTCTCCTTGTATGTCTTTGTCTGTGTCCAAATTTCCCTCTTCTAAGGACACTAGTTGTTGGATTAGGGTTTACCCTACTCCAGAATGACTTGACTTTAACTTGATTACATCTGCAAAGACCCTATTTCCAGATAAGGTCCCAATCTGAGGTTCTGAGTAGACATGATTTTTCAGAGGACATTAATCAATCAAGTATGGTCCCAAAGTGTCTCTCCCAAAACATTTAATAATTATAAAGGGGAAAATAGTAATTTTACTTTGAAGAATCTTGGAGGACACCACTTTAAC